CGAGTTTGTGTCTTGAAGATTAGATTGTCAAGGGTTCACCAAAATGAAGGATAAATTATAAATCATAAATTTATAAATAAAAAAAAGACCAAAAGACAAAAAAAGAATTAAATGGATATATAACAAACTTTTAAGTTCAAATAACCAAAATTGTTTCAAGATATTATAGCAGAGAATTTAGAAGTCAATATGTGTTTTCATATTAAATTACAAACTTCAAACAAGCTAATCAATATCAAAGGGTGGTGACTTAAAATTATAAAAGTCATGAAAGAACAAAGTAGCAACTAATCTAAACATGTTATTAAAATAATGATGAATTAATGCAAGCAAAAGGCATGTTTCATTGTATGCATCATATGTATAATAGATCATAAGACATTCAGAGATTCACATACAAAAACAACATCCCTCACACTTATAAAAAAAAAAAAAATGTTAACGTTAACGTTAGAACAGACTGATAACCTTGAATATATAGATCACAGTTGCAGAAAAAAAAATTCTAATAGAGACTAACCTAAACCCGAACCCTACCCTAACAAAGGAAAAATAATAGAAGATTTTAGAGGGAAGGAAAGAAATACATAGTCACAAAGTTAGTCACAAATATAACGAGAATACACAGACACCAACCTTAGTTATAATGTGTGTAGTTGCGTTATGTAAATCTAAGAGAGAAGATGACAAAAGAAGCTTTTTGGAAGAGAAGGGTTTCAAGACCACAATGGCGCAGAAAGAAAGATGTTTCTAATTAGGGTTTCTTTCTTTCATTTTTAGGGTAACATAAGCTAGGTTGAGGTTTTAGGTTAGGTTATAAATGAATTTTGTGATGGACTAGCCAGTTCTAATAGAAATATAGTACTTATTCACTTTGTACCAACTTACCCTCATCCTGTTTTGAAACTTTAGTTTCCCCAATTTAAGATGGATTGTGAAATCCTGCATTGGCCTAGAAATGAGTGAAAAATGACATATCTTAACATGTAACTTTTAGTACTTTTCAACTTTTTCCTTGAATGATTCTCAGTCATACTTTTCTTTTGTGCACATTGAGTGCAAAATTAAGATTATACCTTTTTCTTATATTTACTCTCTCAAAATAAATTATTTTTCTTACTTTGTAGAAGACATTAGTCTTGTTATACACAAGTCTTGCAATGGTACTCTCACTCTATTCAATGAATTTATGTTGTGGTCTTCTTATACTCAAATTTCAAATGAAAAGGGTCCTAATTTTTAACCCCAATTTTGTAACACATTATTTATATGTGTAATTTTATTAAAATAAACAACTATATTTAAAATAACTTAATAACTAATAATTTTTATTGTTAAACACTTCAGTATTGTCAAAGTCCATATCACAAATGTCAAATTAAAAAAATGTGAAATTTGCTTGATAATAAAAATTGAAGAACTAAAATTTCTCAATTAAAAATTTGAAAACTAAAATTGAACAAAATTAAAATAAAAAAGACTAAAAGTGTAATTACACTTAGGAAATTTTTATGGTAACTTGTAAATTATAGGATATTTCATGTCATCATAATAGACAATAAAATTAGTCATTTATTTAAAAAAGATATAAATATCATTTAATATATAAAATATTAGAACAATCATAATGTCAATTTAAAGAGAGTATACAATGTTCTGTTAAATTTATATATAAACACTTTAAACTTATTTTTTTTAAGACATTACAACTAGATTTATTCACTTCTCCAATTTTACAATAGTAATAAAAAAGAAAATTACTTAAACTCAACGAATGTCTTCAATCTTAAAGCATACATCCTCCAAACCTGACCTATCAACGCCAATATGTTACAAGAGACCATTTTTACAATGAATTTTATTATTTGTTGAATAGAAATTTAAAATATATATATTTTTTTCATTTTTTTTTTATTTTTTTTAATCTAAGTAGTATTGTAGATATAAAAAAATTATGTATAATACTTTTCTTTTTAAATATTATAATTTTAATAAAAATTTATTATTTTTATTATATCACTTATTTAATATTTATTTAAATTTCATCAATTATAGATATATTTTAATTATAACTTATGTGTTAACGTAATTTTAAAATAAATTCAAACAAAATTTTAAACATATTCTTAATTACTCATTTTCTCTCATATTTTCTTATATCTCTAATAAATATGGCAAATTCATTATAAAAATAACATTCTTCTTTTTCAACATGACAACATCATGTTCACACTTTTTGAAAAATGCGTTTTATGTATATCTAAAAATATGTTAAAGAATATATAAGCACGGATTCAATAAAAAAATTATAATTAATAATATTAAAATAAATATATTTATAATTATTTAAATTCTTGATAAATAGGGTCTTAAAATATTAGTTGAAAAACTAAAATTATTTTATATTAAAAAATACGTAAAGCTACATCCAAAATCATAAAAAATATTTATTTTTATCCTTCAAAAGAGCAACTATAATTGATAATGGTTTAAATAGGAATACAAGCATGATATTGGTTGTCAAGTGTTGACGCGTGATGGGACTAACGGCGACTCTCACCTCATCCATGCAGCATCAGACATATTAGATGCCAATACACTCACCATTCCATCAAAGACCATTTTCCATTCAAATTCTCTTATGTGCCAACCACAAACGCAATACTTAAGCCTTTGCTTTTTTCTCAATTAAAATATTATTTTTTATCTTTAAGTATCAAATATATATTTTAATTAAAATATATTTTCATATGAAACTCAATTATATTTAATATTTTAAAATTAATTTTATTCAACTTTAAACCAAATAATGTTAACTTCAAGGATTAGACGGGTAAAGTAAAATAAAACAGTACATCCTTTACTCTTAGAATTAATTGAATTTTTATGAGATAATTTTTGAAAAATTAAGAAATTAGTTTTAAAAGCAACATTTATTCTTAATATTCATTGAATATTTTTTTAAAATTTTATTAAAAATATTAGCTAATCTAAACATTGGCAAGGTATAATAGTAGTTACTTGGTTTATAGTATGATGATATAACATGAAAAAATTAATAAGTTTTAAGATGTGATTACTTCAACGAGCAATGTGACTTAAAAACAAATTTTATGGAAAAAAAATAAGGTAAGAAAAAAGGTACTAATAATAAAGATACTCTAAGAACACTGTTTAAAATCATAAGTGTAATAATTATATTAATCCGTAATAATAAAATCATAAAAAGACAAATAATCAATTAAAGAAATATTTATAAAATGAAATAATTAGTTGTATGAATAACGAGAGACGAGAAACAAGTAAGTAAATGCACTTCAATGAGTAGTATAATTTAGTTGGATGACTAGTGAGAGAAGAGTGACAAATAAGTAACTTGACTTAGATGAACATTATTTCTTGAAAATTAGAAATTTTTACTCTATAGTTTTTTAAAATTATACGTCATAATGTCACATTCAATGTGTCCCATATCATATAGGTATTTTCTAGGCTAATTACAAACGGAAGATATTGAATGTTACATCAAATGATTTACGAGAAACTGAAAATAATAATAAACAAAAGAACTTTGAAGCCTCAATTATAGAGGTTGGCAACGAATAAGGTATTTGATTGCCAAATTATTAATGTTCATCTGTATTGTTCATGACCTTCCTCAAATAAACCTAAAAGAGGTTGTGATTTATGAGCAGCTGACTATTAAACTCCAACAATAGCAAAATTGTATCAACCATTCAATTATCAATGTAATGTCTAAACCGTTATGTTAATTACAGTAATCGTATTATACAAGAGTTTGTTTGAAATGGTTACAAATTTTTAACTTTTAAATATACATTTTAAAATAAAACACATTTAATTAAAATAAAGTTAAATCAAATCTTAATTTAGTTTTAAAATTAATAGAACTCAACTTTAAAAAAAATCGTTTTAATATTTTGTTTTCAATTATATAAACAACTCATTTAATTTATTATATATATCAATTAATAAATTTAATAAAAATATTTGATAAAAAATTAATATAAAATTTGTCAAATACTTAAGCGATTACCTAGAAGACGCAAAATTATATATTTAAATAGTTAATTGCAATAAAATGTTTAACTAATTAATTTTAAAAGTATTCAATTAATTACATAAAAACTAAATAATATATCAATAGAGGTTAGTTCGAGTAACAAGTGAGTTAGTATCATTTAAGTAACATCTTGAGTTTGAATTTTTGTGTATGTAAAAAATTTTCAGTGATACTTATTCACCACATCTAAGTATGCAACTCAAGTAAGATTAAAAAAAACTACTAAATAATATATCTAATTTATTATCGATGTAAATATTTTTAATTTATATGTTAGTTTTGTTTTTTGTTTTTTGTTTTTTTACTTTTTATTGTTATGATTGATCAAAATCAGCAATATCAACCATTTTAGTTTTTTTTCTGATTTAATAATGTGATATACGAAATATTTATTTTAAGGAATTTATTAGAGAAATAAAAAATCATTTTAAAAATAAAATAAATAATTTACTCAATTTGTTTTAGATTAATAGAAAAATTCACATGACTTTCAAATATGGAGAATCTTAAATAAAAAGAATTATTTGTGCCATACAATAACAAATAACTCCTTTCATAAAAGCTCCTTAATCCTTGATATGTCATAGTGCTAAGTTTGCATTCAATAATCGAAGCTAAAAGGGAGAATTGTTAGCTTAGTAGCATTTTTATTAAGATAGAATAACACAAAGGTAAGATGCTAAATATAAAGGGTCCATCACAGACAAATTCTAGTAAAACGACCACAATCAACCCAGCAAGGGGACATAGGAAAAGAAAATAGAAAATAGAAAATAAAACATGATCCAATGCATGAGTTTGATGAGTGCATAGTCTCGTCACTAAATCTAGAGTTTTCTTTTCCCTTTATGATCCACCATATATAAACTATTTTTTTAAAAATATTCAAGAGTATTTTTCTTATGGTCTCCAAAATCTAGAGCTTTATGAAACCATTTTCGATCATCCACTTGAGGCTCCAATGGTTAAACTTACACCTGTAGGCCCAATAGGCCCATCCAAAAGTTGCACGAGAATACACATCCAATTGTGCTTGAGCGTATCTTTGGTAGTCTTCTTTAGCAGCATTTTTCACACTCCACTCACCCGTCCATTCCCCTGCCAACAACACTCATGATGCGATTCTCAATGTATATAATATGATCAAATATACACTAAAAATATAATAGAACTCAAATGTTATGTTAATATGTTCCCATCTTATTATAATGTCTACCAAGTTTTACTTAAGTGACTTTCTTGATTGTTCATAAAAATATATTTAGGCCAATAATATTGGTTAGGATTTGGTTTTTACCTACAAAAGTAAGAGCATTAGTTGAAGAGACGCCGCTAAGGTCTGAGGCTCGTTCGTTTCTTATGTAGTCAATATTTTGTTGAGCATTCATGTCGTCGAATTTACTCGAAAAAAGATTGTAGTAATGCACATCGAGTACTACTCTGTCGAAGTCTTTCACAAATGAGAGAAGCACCTTAGAATCTTTATCCAATGGGTTTGACATTATCACATATGCACTTGGGCTGTGCTTCCTCACAGCATCATAAGCTTCTCGATAATACTTCTTAAGGCTGTCTATGTTCACACCTTGTGGCTCATTCATCAGTTCTATTCCTCCTAGGTTTGGTCTGTTACCATATCTGTCAACAAATTCAAGTCTCAAAAGTTTAATTTTTCAACCATAACAGGTCACATCATCCTACCTATATAGATTATTAGAGTATATAGTCAAATTAGTCAATTGAAAATAGTGTCAGTTATATTAGTTACTGAATAATGTACATTAGCTAGACTTCAGGTTTTAATATATTAAGGCAGCATGTGTGAGTAAAAATATCTTATATTAGGTAGAAATTAAATTGTGTAACATATTAATGACAAAGATCTACCACCTAATACCCTAAGTTTTGAGTTGAATGTAATATTTGGTATTTAAATGATTTGTTTGTGATTCATTGATAAGCTGGTGTAAAATACAAATTTAATGGTTTAAATGTATCATAATCTTTACACTTGTTATGAGTTTTAAAGACTAATTTAATTTTTAAAATACAAATTTAGGAACATGTTGACATTTAAATGAATCAAACGTATAATTCCTACTGGGGGACTTGTATGATTATTTACTTAACTAAAATGTATTAAGCGAGCATTTATTGTTTTAGAAGTATACAACCTTTCGGCTAAGAAGTCTATGACTGCGACCGTGTTAGGTATATGTGAATCTCCCCATTCTAAATATCCATCTCTTGTGCCACTATGGTCATTGCCATTCTGAGAACCTTCAACTGCATGCAAGTCCACGATCACTTTCATGCCATGGTTTCTACAAGTTATAAAATGTACATAATTGGTAAATGATGGAACATTGGAGCTGAATTAAATGTTGGAAAATGGTTCCGTGTTACACAATTACAGCATTACTTACTGTGCCCATTTGAAAGCATTGTCTAGTGCTGCCAAAGATCCTCCAACAAAGGGCTTAGGAGGGTTTGGATCTTTAGCTATCCACCATCCAACTGGTATTCTCACTGCATTTAATCCATTTGTTGACATGAATCTGAAGTCGTCTTCTGTTATGTATGTGTTCCAGTGATTCTGCAAGGCCAACATAGCTCAATATGAAGATGATCTTGGAATATCAATTGCGGCAAGTGCATGGTTTGTCATCAAAAGTTGGGGAAAATATATTTTGTTAGTTGTGAAATTATCAATTAAAACCTTGGAAAATATTTCATGTTACTAGTTTTTTATGTCTGGTGTGCATCTAGATATATTATATTATCTATCACTTTGACATGATTAAATGGATGACACCTTATCATAAAGTGTTAATAAAGACTATTTTAAAAAATTTTAAAATTTGATTAGACTAAAAGTTGAAAAAATTTGAGAGAATTAAAATAAAATTGAATCATATTTACGTCTGAAAAGTTTGAGATTTCTCACCCGCAGTACTTGAGGAGCTTTGCCTGGGCCATAACCATTAGTAAGTTGGTACTCTCCTTGTAAAGTGCGTACAATATTGATATGGAAGACTGAAGGGTCACTTGCTTCCCAATTTGTGCCTTGATAATCTGCAGTCACTGACGTCTCTGATTGAGCCTTCACAAATTCAATTGCAATATTTTGTTGAAGGTTAAAACAAAACAAATCCATCTCTTGCATGATAGAAAAATGCTGTTAACATGAGAAATGGCAATATGAATAGCATGAAGATTGAGAGGTACCTGTAAAAACAGACCATTTGATGCTTTGAGTCGAACTTTGAGGGGATCATTATCATTCCTTATAATCTCAAAGGTTTCCGGTTTGCTGGGAGAATTTGAAACTGCTACAATTTTGTTTCCACCTCCTTGATTTTCCAGCCCCACAAATTGCTTGTTCAACACTCTCAAATTGAAGGATGAATCACTCACCCTCCACAGCTGCACATGCACACACAATTAAAATAATTTTGAAAATGAAAATATATAAATTTTAAGATATATTAAATGATTTTTAAAATTTAATCAAATTTTAAAATTATATATTTAAACTATTAATAATAAATAATCTATTATATTAAGTAAGATTAAATTTAAAAAACATAAAATATTTAAAATTGAAAACTAAATTAAGATTAAATTTTTAAAAATAAATTAGTCAAGAAAAGTACATATATAGAGCAAAAATACATTTAGCCTCCATTTAGATGAGAAGCGAAATAGAGAAAATAAACATAGAGAAAAAAAAAATAGAATTCTATTAGAATTCATAAAAAAATTCTTCTTATAAATTATAACAACACATTCTTAATTATTAGTTAAAATTAATTAAAAAAATAAAAATTATGTAAATTTTATTGTTTTTTACTTCTCATTTAATGTTTTTCTTCTCATAATTCTATAATTTTTTAATAAATTTTAATCAATAACTAAGTGTAATAAAAATAGATTGAGATCTTCTGCGATGAATATTTCAATTTTAATCTTAACCATTTATTAAATATTTATTATTTTTTAATAGAAAAATAATTTGTTTCAATGGTCAAGCCTCTCCAATGACACAATGTTACTGCAAGAATCCTTATCCATTAAAAAGAGTGTAACTGAAATACTTGTGGACTTAGTTAAAATAACTGTAAAAAATATTCGTATTTAAAAATTATGACTCAGAGGTGACATATAGAAGCAAATGAATGTGATGTATAAAAAAATTGATCGTCTTTAAAACATACCCTGAATGTTTCCCATCCAGAAGGTGAATCACGGTTGGCTACAACAGCAGCTCCTCCTCCATTTTCAGAACAGAGATACTTGTGGAGCTTTGTGGACATTAGTTGCACTTGAGTTCCATCCTGCAATAACAAAACATTTGAACTTGATAATCTGCAGAATTGACAATTATTTGTGAAAATTGCTAAGTGCAACCATTCATTTTACTCTAAAAGAACGAATGGTGGTGTTATTTGGAATGATAATTAATTGAAATGAAGTGTTTGGGAGTAACAATACCAAGAGATCTTTGTTGACAATTCCTTCAAAGAGAGAAGGTTTCATCCACCCTTCAGCAACAAGCCAGTTTCCCAGATTCACAGCTTTGTATGGCATATTTTGCCCATTGTGAGGACTTAAAAGGCATAAAGTCAACAGGAAACTCAAATAGTATGAATATCCCATTTTAAAATTAAAGCCAATTGCTTGCTACCATGGATAGTAAGGTCTAGTATATATAGTAGATATTTTAAAACTAATGAGGCAAGTTTAAATGTTTTACCAAATAATGTGAGTTTTTATTAGTGAAATTAGTGTAAAATTTTATTTGACAGTAAAATCATGTAAATAAAAGATTCCATGTGTATTTGACTGATTCTAACAAGTAATTATTGTACAATAAAGGAAAATGAACGAAATTAGAAAAGACAAATAGATATACTGTGATTGACTTGACCATTCCATAGGCTTAATGTAATTAATATCGCCATGAAATCACGAAGCAAACCATTTCTTTTATAATTAATTTTATATTTTCTTACGATTCTTTCTATACTTTTTTTTACTTACTAAATCCAAAATGTATGAGTCCTTTTTATGTTTTTAAGATATTAAATGCATTACTTTTTATCCAACACTTTTAATTAGTAGGAAAATATTATAAAAACTATGATATTTCTTATCTTTTATATTTCTCATGGTTATACAATAATATATTAATTATTTTCATTTTAAAATTACAAAAAAAGAGTATTAAAAAAATGTATATATATATATATATTATTAATCATAAAAAATGTTAGAATAATTAATAAAATGCTCATAAGTGTTAAATAAATCTACATTCTTTTTCACTATTTGTACAAATATCTACTAGGTAATAATAATTTGAAAAAAGAAATATTGGTCAACATATGAATGTCACAGGATTCGAATTTTTGAGAGTTTAAGCTGAAACCACCTTAAAACTACACTTAAAACTTTATTATTTCTTATATATATATGAACAATGTCTGAAACGACTCTGTTGAAAAATTAATTTTATTTGTTGCAATGGAATTTTTGAAAAAACTGTTACGATTACAATTTTAACTATTTAAGGGAGAGAAAAGTTTATCTCTCACCATTTTACAAGCCTTATGCGTCTGAATTTAACTGTGATTCATTTTAAAATCCATTGTCGTCGGTGTTTTTTCCTGCTATAATTAATGTTAACTTTTAGGTTGTTGACTATTTTCCTCAGCCGTGATCGAAGGAGAAAACTGAACGTTGATTTTTAATACAATATTTCTAAAGTTATTTTTTTAAATTTATTTATTAATTTAATAGTTAGTTCCTTTGGAAAATTCATCAACAATATTTTTTTTAATATAACGTATGTATCTAAGGAAAAAAAAAAAGTAAGAAAAAACTTAGATTTGGCTTTATAAGTATGGTTGGTATCATTCTTCAATCAGAATTGGAGTTTCACTTTGATAATGTGTACGATTTTTAATATTAACGTGTTAATTTTGAATGTCAAATTTTATTATGCCAATTATTGAAGTAAAAAATTAACTCTATGAGGTGAATAATATCAGCAATACTATTTAAATTTTATCTAAAAAAAATAGTATTATTAAATCTTATTTCTTGTTAAAATTTCAAAGTAATATTCCTCTAATTCTATTTATAAAAAATAATTATTACTGTGTTGTGATCCAAAATAATATAAAAAATAAAAAATATTTTTAAATATATTAATTATTAAATTTTTATGTTTTTATTATTGTGAAATTTGTATTAATAAAACATACCTACTTATTGATAAATATATCATTTATTTAATATTTAAAATATTAATTTAATTATTTATTACTATAAATATTTTTAAAATATATCATAAATTAATTATATATAAATTACAGGATATTTTATTGTGGCAAGAAAGAGCGTCTAGAATCAAGTTCTTTGACGCTCTCTCGTTGTAGCAAAGAGCTCTCTCGTTATAGTAAAGAGTTCTCGCAGTAGTTAGAATGACAGATAGCAAATAGAAATTTTCTCTAATTTTTTTGCTACAACAAAGAAGAGCTCGATGTAGCAAGAATATCTTGAGTCAAGGGGTATTTAAGGGTTTTTTAAGTTAGAATACTTGGATTACAATCTAAGTTTCGAGCTCTCTCCTGTTCTCTCGACTTTTAACTCTCTCTTCTCAAAAAAATCTCGAAAATCTCAACTCTCCTTCAAATTTAAGCTTGAGAACTACATCAATCAACTTCAAGTTTTTGAAGCTTTGTTCTCTCTTTTTGGTTGTTTTCTATGTCTTCTCCTTCTCAAAACATTCTCTTTTGTGATATGTAGGATCTTGGTTCTTTCACCGAAACCTTTCACAAACCCTCTTTCAAAACTTCGTTTCAAGGTAAGGAGAGCTCTATTTTGTGATTTTAAGCATAATAAATATTTTATATCCATAAGAGTACTTTATATATTTGTTCTTGTATGATTTTTATGATTGATTGACATTAGATTGTTGTAAAAAGTATGTTCGGTTGATTTTGGATGTTAATGATACGTTCGAGTAGTATACTTGTTTGGAACTTAGTCCGAAATGCTTTACTAAGCACAATCTTTTACTTGAGTAATGAGTTTAGTATGAAAGGGAGTATGGGATAAGTGTAAAAAAAAAAAAAGTTGAATAGATCTAGTGTGAATAGTTACAGAGATACACTAAAGTTATAGAGTTCAGAGACAATGAAAAATCTAGGGAAAACGTAGGGTAGTGAGTGACATTCGCGCATGTGTATAAAATCTTTTTGAGAGCGAATGCACCACATGGCCTCACACTCGTTTCCTGACTATACCTTTGCTAAGGAGCCCGTTATTGTATACGTTGTATTTGTATGTATGGGCTAACCAGTGACTATTTACCTAGTTGTGTAAGACCTCAAGAACTGCTAGAGACATCGTATATCTGTGATCATAGTGCATTACGAGTGCGTATATGAAAAAGGGGAAACATAATGATTTATAATGAAATATATGTGTATGTAATACATTGTTGTTGAAATTGATGTTATCTTTTGTTCCATGGTTATGGTTATGTTGCAATGTTAGTCTTTAAATTTGTGTTATATTTAAATGATAAAATAAAAGCTCTTCCTTACTAACATTTTCAAGAAACAAGGATGACAGTGCATCTGGAAAGAATTAGGCTAATAGATAGTTTGGTACATAATAGACTTAATTATATATTTAATGAATATAAGAGAACTTTGTAAACAATCTTATTCACAAATAGATATTTTATCTATTTATACTTATAATATTAGCCATATATGAAAATTTTATACATTATGTCGGGCTTGTATAAATGGAATAAGCAGCTTTTAAAATTTTAAAATTTAGGATGTTACAAACATCTTGCAATTGATATGCATTATGCTTTCGTAGTTGATAGGACAATAGAGTTTTGCTACTTGCTAGCCAAAGAGATGAAATTATCATCGATAAACTAGACATGCACTACTTGTGTTTTTTTTTTCTTCTCAGTACTATCACTAGCAAAATCATCACAATAATCTATTAATATGAATTTTTTTGATTGCTTATATAGTAATCCTATGACAGTAGTGTCATTAAGATATCTAAAAATCCTTTTAACAACTTTTAAATGAGATTCTTTTGGATTTAATTGAAAATATGAGAACAAACAAACAATAAACATTATGTTAGGGCTACTAGTTGTTAAGTAAAGTAGAGATCTATCATACCTCCTTACATCTTTTAATCGATCATCTACTTGTTTTGTCTTTATCTCCTCGAATGCATAGGTATAATCATAAATTTGAAATAATTCATTTTTGACTTCTTTATTAATTACTTGATGTATTTTTGCTAATGCTTTATAAGTCTTTTGTCTAATTTGTAGTCTAAGGAAAAACTTCAATTCTCACATTATACTCATTTCAATTTTTTTTTTGGCATCATTTCTAAAAATTCTTTACATAAATGATAATTAGTACCACCAAACACAATGTCATCTGCGTAGCATCCTTATTTTATTTAGATTTAACTCATTACAAGTCAAATACAACGTGTGAAAATTTTGAAACATTTAGTAATACTTTAATCAACTCATAAAAATTTAAATGGCAAAAATGAGAATAGACAGATTAAAAAGGAAATGTGAAATAGCATAAATATATATATATATATATATATATATATATATATATATATAACTGTTCTAAAAAGTTTATAAGAGGTTGACAATAGCAAAATATACATCAAAATACATTATGACTCATTTACAATATTTACAAGATACAAAATATAACAAGTACTAATGAGTAATCAATTCACCAAAAGACTAAGAAAGATACTAGTTGTCCTTATGCCATTTCTCTATCGCAGCAAGGTCTTTAGAATCAAGATCATCATCCGATTTGAGATAATGATTGCCTGAATCTGTAGTGGCTTGCCTCTTAGTAATTCGCTCAAAAGTCCATCAAGTTGGTCTTTCGACATGATCGTGATCATGATCATGATATGTGAACAGGTAGGTCACAGTTGTTGAAGTTTTAACTGTGCCTTGATAAAGGTACATACACAGGGTATGGTGGATTCTATTTTTTATAGAGAAATCAAAAGGTACACTATAGGATAGTTCTATTTCTAGCATAATAATGTTACAAGATACATTATCAACATGTAAGGCCAACTTAAAATAGAAAAATCTATGATACTCATTAAATACATAATTTAACCGACACTGTACAAAGTATCAATGAGCCTTATGCTCTCTCTAGATGCTGCCATCCTAGTCCCCTGAAATGTTTACGTAAGAATCAGTTTCTATTATTATTACCAAGCATACATTCACAATTACATCAAATAGTACAAGCAAAGGTAATACAATAATCAATCTTGTTCATATACATGCAACAATCATTAGTTATCCAGATTATTACATTTTTTTTCTATTAACACTCAGAGTTCTCATTTCACACTTTTACTGCTTAGGATCCCTCGATGTCTTCCTTAGCATAGATAGTTGCTGGATAGCTGCAGCTACACAGATATAATGTGTGATGACTCGATCCCTTTTATTAAAAGCATGGTCAGGAGTTTAAATCAGGAAACAAGTGTGAGGCCTGTGGTGCACTTACTCTCATTTGTTATGTGCAATTCAAGAAGAGCATCTATCA